CAGGGTCTCACTCTGTCACCCAGGCTAAAGTGCAGTGGCACGATCTGGGCTCACTGCAGCCTCCGCCTCCTAGGCTCAAATGATTCTCCTGCCTCGGCCTCCTGAGTAGCTGAGATTACAGGTGCGTGCCACTACTGCCCTACTAATTTCCTGTATTTTTAGTAGAGACAGGGTTTCACCATGTTGGCCAGGTTGGTCTTGAACCCCTGACCTCTAATGATCCACCCGCCTCAGCCTCCCAAAGTGCTGAGATTACAGGTGTGAGCCACTGCACCTGGCCACACTGCAGTCTTGACCTTCCAGGCTCAGGTGATCCTCCCACCTCAGCCTCCTGGGTAGCTGGGACTACAGGCATGCACCACCACACCCCACTAATTTTTGTATTTTTTTAAAAGAGAGGGTTTTGCTATGTTGCCCAGACTGACCTTGAACTTCTGGGCTCAAGCAATCCACTGCCTCAGCCTCCCAAAGTGCTGGGATTACAGGTGTGAGCCACCACACTGGCCTAAACTTCTTTTATAAGGACACAAATTCCATTCACTAGGGCAGAGTCCTCATGACCTAATGACCTCCCAAAGGCCCCAGCCTCTCAATGCCATCACCGTAGGGGTTAGGGTTTAACATGTGAATTTTGGAGGGACACAAACATTCAGACCATAGCAATGACATATCCTATAGAAGACTTCTAGTAGACAGGTCTGGACTTCCCTCAAACACTCAGTTTATGAGCTCTGCTGCTGAGAAAGGGGGACCAAGGCAAGGTGGTGGGTCCTAAGGTTGACAATAATTGGAGGACTATCTCCATCCTACAGCCTGTCTAAAGGATCAAGAGTTTCCACTCAGTATGCTGTGAACATTACCTTACACACCTGACTCACTCTGAAAATTAGAGCCTGGCATGGGAACCCTCAGGACAGAATTGGTGGCAGGACCTGGGCTGAGCATGATGGAAGGAGAATTAGAAATGGTCTTGCATCCATGTGGTTCAGAGTTCAAGATGGGAGGCTGAGGCAGAAGAATCACTTGAACCCAGAAGGCAGAGGTTGCAGTGAGCCAAGATCATGCCATTGCACTCCAGCCTGGGTAACAGAGTAAGACTCTTAAAAAAAAAAAAAAAAAAATTCAAGATGCCTGTCACTCTGTCACTGTCTGGGCATAGTTTGTGACAATAAAGAGAAAAGCATTTGTGTTAATTTAATAACATATATACATTAGGAATGCTTTTAGCAGCAAGTAACAAAAGTCTAGGTGTAGGTGGCTTTCAGGCATAGCCTGATCCAGGGGCTCCTACCATGTCCCAGGGATTATGTTTACTTAAAAATGGGGTTTATTTTTCTTTCTCAATAGTAAATAAATGATACTATATAGACATAGCTGCTTATGGTGCCATGACATCTGTATGATTCTCTTAGCCTTTTCCTCATGGTTGCAAGATGACTGCTGTAGCTCCAGCATTGTGTTCACGTTCTTTTTTATTTATTATATATATTTTTTGAGATGGAGTTTTGCTCTTGTTGCCCAAGCTGGAGTGCAGTGGTATGATCTTAGCTCACTGTAACCTCCACCTCCCGGGTTCAAGCAATGCTCCTGCCTCAGCCTCCTGAGTAGCTGGGATTACAGGTGCGCACCACCACCCCCCCAACCTAATTTTTTGTATTTTTAGTAGAAACAGGGTTTCACCATGTTAGCCAGTCTGATCTCGAACTCCTGACCTCAGGTGATCCACAAGCCTTGGCCTTTCAAAGTGCTGGGATTAAAGGTGTGAGCCAAGGTGCCCAGCCATGTTCACATTATAAGTAGGAAGCAGAGGGAAAGAAATGACGCCAGCCACACCTGGCCCCCTTTTTTTCGAATAAAGTCAAAGCTTTCCTGTAAACCTTGAACAGCTTTCTGTTCCTATCTTATTGACCAGGACTGGGAAATACCACCTCCTTAAGCTTCAAGAGAGGCTGGGAAAGGGAAAATGTAGCTTTTCTAGACCCTATAGTGGCAGTAGCAAGAGAGAGGGAAGTGAGGAATGCCAAATAGTGCCAACCACAGGATACTTTACTGTAAATATGGCAGGATAATATTTTCTGAGACACGGATTGATGTTTTCTTTAATTTCTTGATTTTAAAAACCTTTACTATTATTATTACTATTATCATTTTTATTATTATTATTATTAATTTGTAGAGACGGAGTCTGACTATGTTCCCCAGACTGGTCTCAAACTTCTGGGCTCAAGTGGTCCTCCCACCTCAGCCTCCCAAAGTGCTGAGATTACAGGTGTGAGCCACCATGTCCAGCCTGATATTTTATTTTCTTCTTTCTTCCCTACTGTTAATCCAAAACCTGTCTTTGTCTCACATTCAGTAGAGAAATGGGAGAGGGTGGAAAGCAGGTAAAATCCATGAGTTTCAGGCTTTTGTATCCCAATAGCTTAAGTCCTTATTGGAGAAAGATAAAGGCCAAACATAGGACTTGTCACTTTCAGATGCCCCTGGGGTAGAGAGAAAAGAGAAAGGCAGAGGGGAAGTAATGGGAAAAAAAGAGAGAGTTTGGGAAATTTCAGAGGGAGAAGCTCTGAACTCTACTTCTTGGGGGAAAAGCAATGAGACCCCAGAGAGATGCTTCAGAAAGTCCAGAGCAGATGGGACCAGGTGTGGTGGCTCATGTCTGTAATCCCAACACTTTGGGAGGCCAAGGCAGGAGGATCACTTGAGTGCAGGAGTTGGAGACCAGCCTGGGCAACATGGCGAAACCCCATCTCTACAAAAAAAATACAAAGATAAGCTAGACATGGTGGTGCACACCTGTAGTCCCAGCTACTCGGGAGGCTGAGATAACAGGATTGCTAGAGTCCAGGAGGTTGAGGCTGCAGTGAGCCATGATACACCACTGCACTCCAGCTTGAGGGATAGAGCAAGATCCTGTCTCAAAAAGAAAAAAAAAGAGCAGAGGGGAGAATGCTTCACACAATGCCCTAGTTCTCAGCGGGCATGAGAGTAGTGGAACATTCTCTGAGCCTTGAGCATGGTCCTGAGAGGTGGAAGGAGCTGCACAGACAGAAACAAGCAGCCTGTGTAAGCTGAAAGCCAGGGGACCGATGGCTGAGGGGTGATGTCTCAGGCACACCTGCATGGACAGAGGACTTCAGGACGGACACTCCCACCATAGTTTGGCACTTCAAAAGTTACCAAGAAATATACACATTCACATAGAAAGGTGAAAATGCCATCCTAGCTTGCAATAGAAATTATGCTGAGTGGCCAAGTATGGTGGCTCACACCTGTAATCCCAGCACTTTGGGAGGCCAAGGCAGGTGGATCACCTGAGGTCAGGAGTTTGAGACCAGCGTGGCCAACATAGTGAAACCCCATCTTTACTAAAAATATAAAAATTAGCCAGGCACAGTGGTGTGCGCCTGTAATTGCAGCTACTCAGGAGGCTGAGGTGGGAGAATAGCTTGAACCAGGGAGGCAGAGGCTGCAGTGAGCTGAAATTGCACCACTGCACTCCAGCCTGGGCAACAGAGTGAGACTCTGTCTCAAAAAAAAAAAAAAAAAAAAAAAACGGAAAGGGAAGGGAAGGGAGAGAAATTACTGACTTATGGAAAAAGTAAGAAAGTTCTTCATGCCTTCTTGAGTATGTGGTCTGAGATCATAGTCTGTGTCAGAGACCACTGGGTACCTCTCCCGGCATCCATTCTCCCCCTCCTCCTTAGGAATAAACTTTTACTTCTAGCTGGGTACGTTTCCCAGCTTCCCTTGCAGCTAGGTGTCATCATGTGACTAAGCGGTGGCCAATAAGATGTAAGCAAAATGGCTCTATTGGGATTTGTAGGAAGTTGCCTTAAAAGGAAGGAACATAAGCTTTGTCCCCACTTCCTTGTTGCTTGGAGTAAGGCAGTTCCAGCAGCCATGTTGGCCCAAAAGGTGACCTTGAAAATAGAAGGCAGATGAGAAAGTGGAGTGTGAGACTCTGTGTTGTGGCCATAGCATCTTGGACCACTCGCCTTCAGATGTATTTGACATGAATAGGAAATGCACTGCATTAGTTTGTGAGGGCCACCATGACACAAAACAGCCAGCTCTCCACATCCTCAGGTTCTGCAACCACAGATTCAACCAACCACAGTTCAAAAATATCTGAAAAAACAAAAACTATAATAAGCTGGGCGCAGTGGCTCACACCTGTAATCCTAGCACTTTGGGAGGCCGAGGCTGGAGATGACCTGAGGTCAGGAGTTCAAGGCCAGCCTGGCCAACATGGTGAAACCCCATCTCTACTAAAAATCCAAAAATTAGCAGGGTATGGTGGTGTGTGCCTGTAATCCCAGCTACTCAGGAGGCTGGGGCATGAGAATCACTTGAACCCAGATGTTGGAGGTTGCAGTGAGCTAAGATCGTCCCGCAGCACTCCTGCCTGGGCAATAGAGTGAGACTCCATCTCAAAAAAAGAAAAAAAAGAACAATACTAGGCTGAGTTCAGTAGCTCACACCTGTAATCCCAGCACTTTGGGAGGCCAAGGCAGGCGAATCACTTGAGGCCAGGAGTTTGAGACCAGCTTGAGCAACAAAATGAGACCCCCCATCTCTTCAGAAAAATTTATAAAAATTAGCTGGGCAGGGTAGCACACACCAGAGTAATCCCAGCTACTCTGGAGGTGGAGGTGGGACGATCAATTGAACCCAGGAGTTCAAGGCTGCAGTGAGCTATGATTGTGCCACTGCACTCCAGCCTGGGCAACAGAGACTGACCCTGTCTCTAAAAAGAATGAAATACAATACAACACAATACAATAAAAAATACATAGCATTTGCATTGTATTAAGTATTCTAAGTAACCTAGAGATGTTTTAAAGTATACTGCATAGATTATTTTCAAATAATATACCATTTTACATGAAGACTTGAACATCTGCCGATTTTGATATGTGGGAGATCCTGGAACCAATCCCCAGGGACACCAAGAGAAAACTGTACCTCAGACTAGGAGGTTTAAACAAGAAAAGTTTATTTTCTCATAATTGTGGAGACTAGACATCCAAGAATAAGGTGTTGGCCGGGTTGGTTTCTCCTGAGGCCTCTCTTCTTGGCTTGTAGATGATCATCTTTTAAAATTGTGTTTATTTATTTATTGGCTGAGTGCAGGGGACTTTATTGATGGTACACAAAGCAGGGCTCCCTAGGCTCCTCCCTCTTCAGGGAGTCTGCATGGAAACTGTGAGGAAGGGAGATTCTCATTGTGATGGGGGACTGAGTGTGGCAGGGATTCCCCAGCAGTGAGGGCCTCTCTCTTCCTCTCGTACTCTTGCTAGGGCTGATGGTCCAGGGGTCTTACTCCTTGGAGGCCATGTGGGCCATGAGGTCCACCACCCTGTTGCTGTAGCCAAATTCATTGTCATACCAGGAAACAAGCTTGACAAAGTGGTCATTGAGGGCAATGCCAGCCCCAGCATCAAAGGTGGAAGAGTGGGTGTTGAGGTTGAAGTCAGAGGAGACAAGCTGGTGTTCAGTGTAGCCCCAGATGCCCTTGAGGGGGCGTCGGACTCCCACTTCATCACCTTCTAGATGTCGTCGTATTTGACAATTTGGCAGGTGTTTCCAGGCGGCAGGTCAGGTCCACGACCAACACGTTGGCAGCGGGGCCATGCAAGTCCATGCAAGTGAGCTTCCCATTCAGCTCAGAGATGACCTTGCCCACAGCCTGGGCAGCGCCAGTAGAGGCAGGGATGATGTTCTGGAGAGCCCCATGGCTGTCACATCACAGTTTCCTGGAGGGGCCATCCATAGTCTTCTGGGTGGCAGTGATGGTGTGGACTGTAGTCATGAGTCCTTCGGCAATACCAAAGTTGTGATGGATGACCTTGGCCAGGGGCGCTAAGCAGTTGGTGGTGCAGGAGGCATTGCTGACGATCTTGAGGCCGTTGTCATACTTCTCATGGTTTACGCCCATCACGAACATGGGGGCGTCAGCAGAGGGGGTAGAGATGATGACCCTTTTGGCTCTCCCCTGCAAGTGAGCCCCAGCCTTCTCCATGGTGGTGAAGATGCTGGTGGACTCCACGACGAACTCAGCACCAGCATTGCCACATTTGATTTTGGAGGGATCTCGCTCCTGGAAGATGATGATGGGATTTCCCCGTTCTCAGCCTTGACAGTGCCGTGGAATTTGCTATGGATGGAATCATACTGGAACATGTAGACCATGTAGTTGAGGTCAATGAAGGGTCATTGATGGCGACAATATCCACTTTACCAGAGTTAAAAGCAGCCCTGGAGACCAGGCGCCCAATACGACCAAATCCATTGGTTCTGACCTTCACCTGCATCTTCACAGAGAAGATGCAGCTGTCTGTCGAATGGGAGGAGCAGAGAGCCAATTTTGTTTTTTTAAGAAACAGGCTCGTCCAGGCGTGGTAGCTCACGCCTATAATCCCAGCACTTTGGGAGACCAAGGTGGGCGGATCACCTGAGGTCAGGAGTTCAAGACCAGCCTGGCCAACATGGTGAAACCCCGTCTCTACTGAAAATACAAAAAATTAGCTGAGCGTGGTGGCTCACGCCTGTACTCCCAGCTAGCTGGGAAGCTAATGCAGGAGAATCGCTTGAAACCGGGAGGTGGAGGTTGCAGTGAGCTGAGATCGTACCACTGCACTCCAGCCTGGGCAACAGAGTGCGACTCAGTCGTAAAAAAAAAAAAAAGACGGGCTCTCACTGTGTTGCTCAGGCTGGCCTCAAACTCCTGGCCTCAAGCAATCCTCCTGCCTCAACCTCCCACAGTATTGGGATTATAGGTTTGAGCCACCACAGTGAGCCTTAAATGGTCATCTTCTTCCTGTATCTTCACACGGTCTTCCCTCTGTGTGTCTGTGTCCTAATCTCCTCTTCTTTTTTTTCTTTTTCTTGAGACTGAGCCTTGCTCTGTCACCCAGGCTGTAGTGCAGTGGCGCCATCTCAGCTCACTGCAACCTCTACCTCCTAGATTCAAGCAGTTCTCTGGCCTCAGCCTCCCAAGTAGCTGGGATTACAGGCACTCACCACCATGCCCAGCTAATTTTTTTCTTGAGACAGTGTCTCGCTGTGTCATCCAGGCTGGAGTGCAGACGTGTGATCTCCACTCCCTGCAACCTCCACCTCCCCAGTTCAAGCAATTGTCCTGTCTCAGCCTCCCGAGTAGCTGGGACTACAGGCACGTGCCACCATGCCCAACTAATTTTTGTATTTTTAGTAGAGATGGTATTTCACCATATTGATCAGGCTGGTCTCGAACCCCTGACTTCAGGTAATCCACCCACCTTGGCCTCCCAAAGTGCTGGGATTATAGGCGTGAGCTACTGTGCCCAGCCCTAATCTTTTCTTGTAGGGACACCAGTCATATTGGATTGGGACCCCCCCCAGTGACCTCATTTTCACTTAATTACCTCTTTAAAGGCACTATCTCCAGATACAGTCACATTCTGAGGCACTGGGAGTTAGGACGTCAACATATACATTTGGAGGGGGACACATTCCAGCCCATAATACACACTTGTTAACAGGAGTCAGGCCTATCCTGCAGCGTGGCTCTGGAAATAGCCTCCTGCCCTTTCTCAGCCTGTTTCCTCTTTTGTAAACCAGGGGCTTCCACTGACGGTGCTCATGGCTGCTGTTGTGCACTGTGCTTCTTAAAAGCTCCGTCTGGGGCTGATGTTTAGCTAAATTTAGGGCCAATCTGTCCCCATCGTGGGCTTGGTGGAGCTGAAGAAGGGTGTGGGTGGACTCACAAACAGATGGCTCCAGGCCTGCAGGTTCCCCTCCTCCGGCTGTGCTAAAGGTCTCCCTTCCTCTCCTATGGTGAGGCTCCAGGAGTGGCTCAGGCCCTCCACTGGCCACCGACCATCCTCCAGGCTGCACTCGGAGGACCTGTGCACAAGGCCTGTTCCCAAGGCCAGCCTCCGCCCGTTGGCCCCAAGCCCAGTCTGCCCTGGACCTCAGCAAAGGGATGAGTTACACTTGACAAAGAACAGTGCTAGGTGCCTTTCATGGTTAGCTCGAGAACCCCCATTTTATGAATGGAGAAACTGAGGCAGGGTCGGGCACGGTGGCTCACACCTGTAATCCCAGCAGTTTGGGAGGCGGAGGCAGGCAAATCACTTTAGGTCAGGAGTTTGAGACCAGCCGGGCCAATATGGTGAAACCCTGTCTCTACTAAAAATACAAAAATTAGGCGGGTATGGTGGTGGACGTCTGTAATCCCAGCTACTCAGGAGGCTGAGACAGTAGCCTCACTTGAACCTTGGAGGTGGAGGTTGCAGTGAACTAAGATCATGCCACTGCACTCCAACCTGGGAGACAGAGTGAGACTCTATCTCAAAAAAAACAAAACAAAACAAAGCAAAATCGAAAGAAACTGGAGGCCAGACGCGGTGTCTCACGCCTGTAATCCCAGCACTTTGGTAGGCCGAGGTGGTTGGATCATGAGGTCAGGAGATTGAGATCATCCTGGCCAACATGCTGAAACCCCATCTCTACTTAAAAATACAAAAAGTAGCTGGGTGTGGTGGCGCATGCCTTTAATCCCAGCTACTCAGGAGGCTGAGGCAGGAGAATCACTTGAACCAGGGATTCGGAGGCTACAGTGAGCCGAGATCTTGCCACTGTACTCCAACCTGGCAACAGAGTGAGACTCTGTCTCAAAAAAAAGAAAAACAGAAAGAAAAGAAACGGGGGCAAACGCCTACACTTACACCTGGCCTTGAATCCCACCCGCTTCCACCTTCTCAGGAACTTCTCACTTCTGTATTTCAATCACTTTCAATTGAATCCATCTCATTAATGTTTTATTTATTTACTTATTTGTAGAGATGGGGGATCTCCCTATGTTGCCCAGTCTGGTCTGGAACTCCTGGACTCAAGCGATCTGCCCACCTTGGCCTCCCAAAGTGCTGGGATTATAGGGGTGAGCCACCACGCCCAGTCAATAATTCTGTATATTAGACAGAATAGTTGTTCATTTGTGATATGACTTGCAAATATTTTTTCCTAGTTTGTCATTTTCCTTTTGACTCTATTGAGGTGAAGGAGACATAGGCTCTTGAGTACATTTCTGATGGCTTGTGCAGATTGCTACCGCTCCTGTGATTGACAATTTGGCATTATCCAGCAAAACTGCAAATGCATTTATCCTTTGACTCAGCAGTCTCGTTTCTGGCATTTCTGGGGATGTTTTTTCCTGATCAGATAGCTCATGTTTTCTTTTTTCTTTCCTTTACTTTTTCTGAACACTCCTGGGAATTTATGCTATAGAGCTACTTGACATGAATGAAAATGTGCGTGTGTGTGTGTGTGTGCGTGTGTGTCTGTGTGCCTGTGTGTGTGTGTCTGTGTGTCTGTGTGTGTGTGTGTGTGTCTGTGTGCCTGTGTGTGTGTGTGTCTGTGTGTCTGTGTGTGTGTCTGTGTGTGTGTGTGTGTGTTGCTTGGTACTATCGACTTTCTTTTTAGAAGACTGGAAACAGCCTAGGGAATCATCAATAGGGAACTGATGAAACAAGCTATGGTAAATCCACAAAACGGAATATTTTGTGGCCATAAAATAATGAAGAAGGCTTCTATGTATTGTGATGAAAAGAGCTCTAGGATATACCTTTAAGTGAAAAAAGCAAGGAGAGGCTGGGCACAGTGACTCGTGCCTGTAATCCCAGCATTTCGGGAGGCCAAGGAGGGTGGATCACCTAAGGTCAGGAGTTCGAGACCAGCCTGACCAACATGGAGAAAACCTGTCTCTACTAAAAATACAAAAATTAGCTGGATATGGTGGCGTGTGCCTGTAATCCCAGCTACTCAGGAGGCTGAGTCAGGAGAATCGCTTGAACCCGGGAGGTGGAGGTTGCAGTGAGCCAAGACTGTACCACTGAACTGCACTGCACTCCAACCTGGGTGACAAAGCGAGACTCTGTAAAAAAAAAAACAAAAAAAACCCTAGGGACTGGGTGCTACTGGTGAGTAAAGGCCAGGAAGGCTGCTAAAACACAGGACAGCCCTCTACGACCCAGAATCATCCAGCCCAAATGTCAACAGTGACAAAGTAAAGAAACCCTGGATTAGCATTTTTTCTGACATCAAAGTTAAATCCAGTGGACTTTTGTTTTTAAGTCTTTATCTATCTTGGCCTCTGAAGGAGTGTTCAGGATCGTTGACTCTCCTTCCTTCATGCAAAGCTGAATCCTGTGACTTCCGCGATGATGCTGGCCTCCCTTCCTCCATCCCCTTTGCAGGCTCATCCTCCTACATGGCAATTAGATATCGGGGTTCCTGGAGGCGAGTCCTAGGCCCTCTTTTTGTCTCACCCCAGACTGACCCTCATTGATCCCACCCACTTTGACTTTGTTTTTGGTTTGTTTCAATAGAGATGGGGTTTCACCATGTTGCCCAGGCTGGTCTCGAACTCCTGGCCTCAAGCAATCCTCCAGCCTCGGCCTCCCAAAGTGCTGGGATTATAGGTGTGAGTCACTGTGCCTGGCCTTGGTTACCATCTCTACACCAATGAGTCCCGCAATTATACACAACCCAAACCTCACCTTGCAGTCAATTCCATCCATCCAACTTCCTGCTCCACAACCTCGCCTAGATGTTTCCAAGGCCCCTGGGGCTCATCAGGAGGACAAGCTTGCCTTCAGGGTCCTCCGTACCCAATCCTCTTTTGGTGTCCCTATTTCAGTAACTAGCAAAACCATCAATCTAGATCCACAAGCAAGAAGCCTAGAAGTCCGCCGGGCAGGGTGGCTCACGCCTGTAGTCCCAGCATTTTGGGAGGCCGAGGCAGGTGAATTACTTGAGGTCAGGAGTTCGTGACCAGCCTGACCAACATGGTGAAACCCCATCTCTACTAAAAATACAAGAAAATTAGCCAGGCGTGGTAGCGGGCACGTGTAATCCCAGCTACTCCAGAGGTTGAGGAAGGAGAGTCACTTGAACTTAGGAGGCAGAGGTTGCAGTGAGTCAAGATCATGCCACTGCACTCCAGCCTGGGCAACAGAGTGAGACTCCATCTCAAAAAAACAAAACAAAACAAAACAACAAAACACACACACACACACAAGTTGTGATTTTTGTGAGCCACCGCTCCCGGTCAAAATAGCCCTTAGATTTTTGAGTGACACGGAACTGAAGGAATTGAAGGTAAGCTACAGTTGCTACCTGGGGAAGGAGGGTCACAGGCAAAGGCACAGAAAATGCAAAGACCCTTCAGTAATAAGAGAAGATGAGTATCGCTCCCCACATACTTACTGGCTATTTATATTTCTTTATTTCCATTTACCAGTTTACATTCTTTGCTTTTTCCTTTTTTTTTCTTTTTTCTTTTCTC